GTCATAATTTTTAATTACACTTTTAAATATATATTCAAATATTGGTTAACACGGTGATACTTTTTAAAATGTGACATGTTCATATATTGTTATATTGTTATGTTTGCAACGTTTTTTAAAGCGCGTCACACACTTCAATTTCTTATTCTATTCACAAATAATATTATATTTGTAGAAAGAATTAGAGAATATTTACATGTACTGAGTCATTTTTTATACATATTTATAATGTTGGAATATCACTAGTGAGTTGTCTCACATTGATTATATAAATGAACCCAGTTTATAAGCTTAGTAGGCTACTCTTTTCATTACCAGTTGATTTTTGGATAGAACATCACTAATGTGCATCTAGGCTCACCCACTCTTTTATTGTACACTTCGGACTGCACCCTCTTCTCCCGATTCTAAAAGGTTTATCAGAATGACATTGTTATCAAAATATCTTATGTTATGTTCGTTATAGGATTGTAATTTTGTTTGTTGAGTTTATTTTGGGATTTATGTAAATTGCAATTTTGGTAAATGATAGGAAAATTTAATGGTGTTTTTGGTAAATAGAGTGGATAAGCATGAGCATAACAGTTTCTCACATTTTCAGCATCATTTTCCTTAATAATAGCTAACTGCTTGGCCCTGGTTTTCAGCCCACATGACTTGAGTTAACTTCACCCCACAGCACATCTTCTCCCAAATCTCTCTTTTCAACCTTCCCCGGAAAACCATCCTCATGACCGTCGATGACTGATGTCATAACATTTTATTTATTACGCTACAATTAATATAATAATAACATAAAAACAAAATACTATTCAATATAATTTATTTATTTATTTACTTATAATAATAATATATTTGAGAAAAATGTAATTTTGTATTGTTTATAAAATAAAAAAATTTATGATTTTTTTTTCAATGCTTGATAATATTAATTAACTAACTCATTTTCATATTCGCAAAAAATATATGTTATAACCATTACGGTGTTCACTTTCAATCAATAATTGAATAATAGTTTAACATACAACTCGTTTATTTCTCTTTTTTTTTTTTAATTGGTAAATGTTTATTTATAGATCAAAACTGGAGTACAAACGATCCACAAACGGCATACAAAAGCATAGTGGGCAGCCACAAGCTCGGCTCCTCACTCGCGGATAATAAGTCTGAGAGAACATCCACAAGTCGGTTGCTCATTCAGGTCTCAAAATAAGACAGTAAGACAACCACCAAATTTTTCAATGAAGTGACAAGCCTATACTTCAAGGGCTTTCCTCTCATATATGGCAAGCACTTTCGGATACCACGCAAAATTGGACGATAAACATGAGTTTGGATTTTACGGATTACTAAGCTCGGAGGTTGGGATTCATTTTCAAAAATCAACATATTTCTCACATTCCAAATGAAGTACACGGTAGCCACCAGCGCCGCTTTCTTCAACTTAGTTTGTCAACTAGCCCCTCATGTCTCCTTCTTAGTCCATTTAAGGGCCTATGACAGGCTAACACAATCACAAATCACCCCCCATATTTCTAAGCCAAATGAGCATTCGAAAAATAGATGACTCGATGATTCCACAACATCTCCACAAAGAGAACAAGTCGGGTATTCATCAGGGAGCTCTAACTGGTCCTTTGTACGGAGACGATTGAGCACTCTCAACCAAAGAATGAAGGAGTGTTTGGGCGTATTGCAAGGGCCTTTCTCATTTTAATTTGCATAGTTAATGTTGGTAATAGTTGTACGTTTACATCCATTTGTATCTTTTTTAGTATGAATATTTTAAATCTATATAAGAATAATATACCACATATTTCTCTTATGTTATTTTACATTTAATAAAATTTATTTAAAGTGGATCTATAATTTATTTTATAAGATAATTTTAGGTCCATATATTATTTTAAATTATGATTGATACGTTTTCTTGGTAAAAATCAATTTATTTTCAATATATATAGGCATATTATGATTCTCGAGATATTCATAATTAATGTGTAGATGATCATATGATCAAAATTAAATCGTGTTGCTCAAGGGGTATCGTGTTCGATTGGAAAACAAATGGATTGAGTTTTAGCATTATACAATTTCATAAAACTGTTCTAATTTTATTTTAAGCGAAGAAATTGAGTAGATTAGAAGTTTAAGTGGTATAACATCAATCATACAACAATTAATCTCTTACATAATTTATGCTTTTTTATAGGTTATTTCGAAATAAAATATTTTTTTATACTATGTGGTCGTTATGAAGACAAGCAATATCGATTTCAAATTTTTGACTTATAGTTATTAATAAATTTACAAAGTTAAATAAATATTATTGAAATAGTTATTTTATTTGATATGATACTTCACATAAACTCTCAAATATTATTTTGAAAATCATAAAAGCATTTAATAATCTTAAGCTAATATCAATAAATAAAATATTTAATATATACAAATTTTAATTCTCATTGTTTATTTAGCGGTCATCTTGAAAATCAATGGCTCAAAGAAAGTAATAATAATTAAAATATCATGATATTTTTAATTAATTATTGAACGAAAAAAATTAAATATTTTAAGTGTTAATAGTCAAAATATTACTCACTTTGATATTAACCACACAATGGTCAGGTGAATATTTGTAAATTGTATTGGCTTTGGGACCAAAAATTGAAAATAAATAAATAAATGACAATTTTTGTGGGATCCAAATTCAGTCCATTAAGACGAAAGTGCAATTTTTAATTTTAACTCTAAATACAAGAGTTTATTTGGATTAAATAATGGAGTAGTTAAATGAATTGTTCCACTTTTATAGTTTGTTAGATTATATATATATATTTCACCTGTTAATAGTTTCGGTAAACTTTCAGGTATCTTTATTTTTTTAAACTATTTATATATACAAGTTACCAATCGATTAAGTTGTCATTTTTTTTTAGCAAGATTTATCTTTTTGTTAAAATTAAAATAGGTAAATAAATAGTTGAAAATATTTAAATTTTTTATAAGTATTTATTTATGATGTTTCGGTTGGATAAGTTTTCTCTAAAGAACTTTTATATATTTAAATTATTAAATATGATTACGGTTTATCATTAAAATTATATAAAATAAGGATGTTTTTTCAAAATACCAATTCTATATATTTTCAAAGCTTTGTTGTTTGGGTTGATGTTGGATTGATTCTTTTAAGATATGGAAAAAAAACAACTTGACAAGTATGTGGAAGAAAACAAATATTTCGTGATGAATAATGGTACGAAAATATTGTGGTTGATTTTTAGGATATAGTGGAATATTTTGTTTGTGCATTCATAATTAATTAATTAATTAATAATTATTAATTAATAAATATATGACATAATGAGTATTAAATTATTACTAATTTGACATTAAAAATATGTCAAAGTAAGAGTTTTTTAGATTGAATATTAGCTATTAATTAAAAATATAAAATATGATGTATATTAATGTATTACTAATTTGTCATTAAAAATTTATTAAAATAAGTGTTTTTCTGATAGTTCTTTTTTTTTTTCTTTTTACAAAAAACACTCGTCCTTTTAAACTAGTATAGATAATAGTGCAAAATTAGTTAGGGCCACCTAGAAGTAATCTTTTCCTTGAATAACAATTGAAACAAAGATATGAGAATTTTATTTTTTTTCAAACGATATAGAAAGCCGAAGGGACACCTCAAAAGCCGAATCTAGTGGGAGGACAGATCCAGAGAATCGCCTAAAACAAACACACTCACTAATAACATAAAAACGAAAACTAAACTCCCTACCAGGAGAAAGAAACTCCCCAATGGGAGACTACAACCCTACGGGGAAAAAAAAAACTCCCCTACGGGAGAAAGCGCGCGCCCCCTCGTGAACAAACGCGCCAACACATTAACAACACAAGACAAGAGACCAACAAAACTAAAAAAACAAAACCCACAACACAACTATACATCCCACTCCCGCAACACCAAGGTAGTTGAATGTGTGTTAAATGTGTGTTAAATGTGTTAAATGTGCTCAACAGTTAAGACCTCAAACAACATTATGTTTCCCAAGCAAAAGTCACAAAAAACAACATAATGTTAGCTTCCACTAATAAACCTGCAGTACTCCAAAATGAGAAACATGACTGAGAGGACAGCAAAAGGAATATTCTTGCACAAGTGTGAACCGCGCGAGTATCTTTTTCTGGTAAATGCGTGCCCTTTTACTGTACAATTTCAAGCAAAATAATTGGAACGGTAAGGTTATGTTTGGTAAAACTACCTGATGAACTAACTGATAGCTGAATAAACTAGCTTATAGCTTATATATGTAATTTTATAGGTTATAATTTATGACTTATAGCTGAATAGTTAGCTTATACGATAAAAGTGTTTAGAAAAATTGGCTGATAAGCTAGCTGAAATAAAAAAAAAAAAAAAAATTCAGCTAGCTTATTTGAAAAGCTACCTAAGAAAGCTTATGAAATAAGCTCGAGTTTTCTGATCAAAAAGCCTGTTTTACAAAACGAGACTTATTTGAATACAGGTTGCTTATAAGCTAACCCAATAAGCTATATAAGCTAGCTTATTTGGCTACCAAACATATAGTTTTAATTAAAACTATTGTGATCTAACTCTTCACAAAGTAAATGGCCACCAAAGCAAGGTCACTTGGCATAACTAACCACTTACATAGTTTGAAACTATGCTAATAGTGTGACATCCACCAAGGCACTAAAATAGTACCTAGCATTCCAAAAATTCCTTAAAAAAAAAAAAAAAAA